CTGGTGTAGTGGAAGTTGTCCCTGCCCATGGCAGGGGGGGTGGAACTAGTTGATCTTTGAGATCACTTCCAACCCAAACTATTCTATGACTCTATGATAACTGCAAGTACTACATAGTTACAGTTCTTACAGTTTAGCTGGTTTCCAGGTTTTATAATTCTTTTTCTTTCTTCCACTGCTGCATGGACTTTTTACACAAACAGCAAGAGCAGCGAGCTGATGAGAGCAGGTCATCACGTTTTGCAGGGTCAACTCTGCTGAAGGAAAAAAGAAATGCTTTAGTGACAATTACAACTTTCAATGCATTGGATGTTTTTTTAAAAATCTGGGAAATCAGAATGAAAATGTTGCTGCAATCTAGTGTTTCAAAATGAAATGGCATTGGTCTTTCTGAAATATCAATTTGATGTGATATTTTAAAATAAGAAATGTCATGCCAGCAAGTTGAGTTGTTTCATTCCCATCAAACACGTTTTGTTTTGACATTTCCGTGCGGTAAATTTTTGGAATTTTTCATGCCACAAACTTTTCATCTTCCCATTCTGATTCTGCAGCAGTTTGCAATAGGTCAACACTTCCCACTGGATGGCAACTCCATTTCTTTTGCACATCCAGGTCCAACTCTGCAGGGGAACAGAAAAATGCGCTACAAACAGATTGCTGAACAGCTACACTCAGTACACAGGCAGGAATAGAGAAAAACCTTTTCCTTTTATCTTTCTCTATCTTTCTAGGATAGTTCTCTGCTACTCATACCCATGGAGAATATTTCAGATGAAGGCAGGATATTTAAATTTTCATTGTGAATAAGAATTTGTATTTTAATTACGCAGTTGTCACAAGACCACCTGAACTTGTGGTTGACAAGTCACCAGGCTGTGTAGGACAGATTATGCAGCAGTCCTCAATGCTACTTAGTTTTGTATTCGGTATGCCGGAATAGAGCAATATTCTTCACTTTTAACATACTGAAGTCATGTCTTGTTTACCCTAAGCTTCATTATTTGTAAAATAGGCTTAGCTAAATCAAAGCTATGCTTTCCTGGAATTCACTAAGTACTATGGAAATACCCTGGCTTTCCAGATCCTTTATCAGTGTTAGTAGCATTAATTTGGTTGCTTAATTGCCCTTCTGTAGCTGTCTTTCCTACTAGGCTCCCCAAGCCCTTTACTAGCACTGTATGCATGAAGTCCTGGGACCGGATGTGAGAAGATCTGAGCTGTAATACATCACCATGGTTTGAGGAGAGAGGAACAGGAGCTGTCAGATGGCAATCGGTTGCACTTTTATTTTTTTCTATCTGTAGTGCAGGGGAAGGGTGTTGTGAGCCCTCTGACCGCATCCATAGTTGGGGTAAATTGGGAAGAGTGACTGCAGTGAAGTCAGACAGGCTTTACACCCCAAGCAGATCTCACAGACCCTCCCTGGTGGTGTCTGGTGTTAGTCCTGAATTACTGAAAGGGGCACTGAGGCACAAGATGACCCCTCATCTTTGTATAGGAGAGTTGTCTCTTCTCATCCCTGGGATCCACTTGGCCCTTCCCTCTGCAAAAGGTCTGGTAGTAGTCAGGGCAGGCTCTGTCCCCTGGAGCGGCTCTCAGAGGGACCTGCTCTTCAGTTAATGACTGGCAAAGATCCTTGTGCAGTGCCGCCCATCTCCAGGGCACAGCGGGCTCTACCTGTGCTGCTGCCCACGGGAGCCTTGGTACTCTACGTCTTGTTGCGTCTCATTTGCTAAATGAACTGATTGATTTAGTTTGTCACGAGAGAAAGGCATCTGAGGGAAAATAATTGATCATAATTCTGTCCTGGTCTATCTAATGAAGACGTGAGAAATTGTGGTGTTTTTTCAAACTAAGTGTCAGTTGATATTAGTCCATTCATCTTTGGAGTAGACGTCTGACTCTGGAGTTTATTTAAATCATTAGCAGTTTCAGGAAACCTGATATACTTCAGATAAAAGAGCAGAACACACTTTGGCCTGGATGCTCACACACATGTAAGCAGTAGCTGCAAGATGAATGTAAAGATAGTCATCTAGACAAGCAAGGAAACAGTGGGAAGGTTGCACCATTCGTTTCCCAGGCCTGTACCCCAAAAAATCTGGACCTTGGAGCTGAGTGGCTGCCATTGCATTTGGGTGGCATGTCCTTGACTCTTATTGTGAAGGAAACGCAATGTGATAATCTGCCTGATGTGGCATTGAAGCTTACCCCAGTTGGCTCTAGGACCTCTGTGGGCTGACTAGATCTGCACTTTCTTTGGAGAACATTTAACATCTATCATCTATCCAGACTAACCTGACAGTGTCCCTCCTGAGACATCTCAACCATAAAAAATTCTTTTCTGACTTTCCTGCCCTCAAAAGTCTTCATTTTTCTTTTCCACGGGCATGTTCTGCCCCAGCTGTAGGCCAGCTGGAGCTGCGGGACCTGGGCTGAACTGGCAGAGCAGAGGGGCTGGCTGGCAGCAAGCAGTGTCACGGGCTGCCGTGGGCACCTTGTGTACTTTGCTTTCTGTCTCCTGAGATGTGTGGAAGAGCTAGTTGCCTTTTGACGAGTGAAGCACTTTGGTATCTTTAGGGGACCCACGCAGTCACGTGCCTTGGGAAGTCCTTCCCTGTGATTTTAGAAAGATAAGAATCGAGGGCTGAGGTTATTCCCAGCTTCTTCAGAAACATTTTTCTCTAGCTGCTACCCCAGCTTTAGGGTATGGCTGACCTCTTGCTCGGCAGCAGAGCGTGTACAGCTCTGACACGTAACATGGGGCTCCTGTCGGGCTGCTCCTTACTAAGCTCCTTTCTCCTTCTGCCAGCCAGGCTACGTCAAGCCGAAGGTCATATTTTAAAATAATCTCGTCAATTCACAATGATGCTGAGGAACAGTGGCAGGTGCCTGCTCAAATGATGCTAGAGCCTTGGAAAATAGTCACAAGCCTCAGATGGGGGTTAGTGTTATTCAAGGTTTTGGAGGAAGGGGGATTGCTGGTTGCAGTGTACAGCTGGTAGCTCTGCTCTCGCAGTCCACCCTCTTCCTCTTTGTTCCACGACCAGTTCAGGAGCTGCTTTGCCTTTGAAAAGGCAGGAAATCTTGATCTCTGTTTCACCTGTGTGCCTGGTTTTACTTGGTGCCAAGGGTCAGCTCTCAACCCCGTTGGCCAACTTCAGGCCAGCCTGCAGCCCTGAAGCCGTGTTAGCTCCCTGAAGGTCTCTCTTCTTAGGAGTACCCTGGGCTGCCCCGATCACCACAACCGCTGGGGTGCAAAGCTCTGCTGTTGTTAATGCTGCGCTGGCCACGTGAGTGCTCGATGTGCCAGGGTTTAGAAGATAAAGTAGTTTCTCATGGGGAAAAAGAGCAGGAATTTTCATCCCAACTGATAGACATAAGGGAAGAGACGGAGTAAGATAAAAATTTGCATGGCCATTTGACTGTATTTTAACTCAAAGCTTTTCATGGATTCTGTGGCATTTAAGTGACTTTTTTTTCCCCCAGAATTTCATCTTCTGCATCATTTTCTCTGGCTTTCATCTAGGGCTGGAAAGAGACAAGGTGTGATTAGAACTGGATAAAACATTTTCAACAGGACTGGCTTCCATAAAAAGCCATTCTGCCAAAACAGAAGAGCCGTGTGAAATTCTGTCAGTTTAGATAAGTCAGTAGTAGGACAGCCTGGGGGCAAGAGGGGAGGATCCAATGTCAGCTATTGAATGGACACGTATATCTAGCTCTGAATTCTTATGATGAACAACAGCTTAGGAGGGAAGGTTACCACCTCCCTGTCTATCCCATGGCGCTTTGCTAAGTGAGAGGATGGTCCTGCCTTGAGAGAATGTGAGTATTGGGAAGGCTTGAACAGAGCCTAGCCTGGGTAAAAAAAAGCATGGAAAACCTCTGGGAGGAGCAGTCCTCCATCAGGTGCTTCAGTAAAGCAAGGAGGTTAAGAGGTCACAAAGTCCTACTCCCTGAGTTAGCTGGGGGATTCAACATATACACGAGTTACAGGATTAATTTGCTGTTGCTGAGGAGCCTCATGGGTGCAGCTCAGGCCTTGTCCTGAGCTAAAATGCCAAACAATTGGTTAAAGATGCAAAGCAGGTTTTCAAAGCAGCTTGTAGCAGCACAGGGACCAAGAACAGGTGTCGGAGCTTGCCCCGAAGGCCTTGAATCTTCACAGATGCAGGACTAATTTGGCAAATGATTTCCCAGGTTGGTGGTTTACGCAGCAACTGACAGCGTGCATAGTTGGGATGTGTGGACCGTGTTCACTGTAGGATCAGGAACACTCTGCTCCGTCTGACAAAGAAGAAGTAGTTGCCAGAAGGCCCTTTGGGTGCAGACTGCAGCTTTGAAAATGAATGCTTGTTATGTGCCGAAATCCTGGGTGGCTCTCGCTGAGAAGCCCGTGGGCAGGCTGTTCAGAGAGCCAGGTTTGATTTCCATTAGCCGGTGGGGAGTTGTAGGCTAAGAAACCTGGGGCGTGAGGATCACAGTGCGAAGTCCTGGTGGATCCAGGTCTGCTGTGCAAAAACGTGTTTTCCCTTCCAGGTGGCTAAGATCCTGAATTAAGTGGGATTTATATTCCCAGGAATTAAATGCCTGTAGCTATCTGTTTTGAAGTCGGGGAGAGGAGTTAGAGCCGCTGATGGTGACAAATACCAAAGGGATGGAAGCATTTCCCTGGTCTAATAACTCATGCTAATGCAACCCAAAACCTCCACCGTTCAAAGTCAGGGGGAGCTGCGGACGTCCCAGCTCTGAGAATATGGCAGCCATTCTTCATTTCCTCCACCAGCACTCCGAAAGGGTTGCAGTCTCCCAGGAGAACCTTCCTTTCTCCTTTCATTGTTCCAGACCCAGCCTAAACTGCAAAATGTTTGAGTGCTGCCTGCCTCTCCATTGCCAACACCCCTGCTTGCTTCTCTCCTCCTGGAGCTGTGACTCCTCCGTATCTGAGCTCTCAACTGGTTTGCTTTCTGTCTGCACCTTTTCTTTCAGAGCAGCTTTCCCAGTTCTTACAGCCTGTACCCTGTCAAAATGTTTTCCTTGGCTCTTGGGGCCTGTTGTGGAAATCCTCTTGCTCCCAGCCTTGCTCTCTCCAGTGTGGTTATTGCCCTCTGTAGTGAAGCCAGCCTGATGTTTGTCCTCCAGTCCTGCTCACCTGTCCTGCCGTGGCTCAGCAACCTGCTTTCGATTTGCTCTCGCTGCTGTTCACCTGACTACTATCTCGGAGCTGTTTACACAGCAGGAGCTGATCCTGCTTTGCACCCTGGCTAGAGGCCTTCAGAAACCCCTTCAAGCCCTCATTTCAAAGTTAATATTCTCAAAAAGTTATAAGCAAAAAACTTGTTCCAGAAATCACTCTGGGGTTATGTGGAAGCATGGTTGTGGTTTCCCATAAGCCAAAGTAGCTTTTATCTGCTTGTGTCCATACACAAAGAGCAGGGAGACTTCCTTTCCCGGACAGTCTTAGATCCTCAGAAGGTGCTCTTGGGTAATGTGAGCACACGTGAAAGACAGAAAATTTTCAACTGGAATAAACATTGGAATAAACTTCTGTGAAATGCTACTGGGCTAAGCGGTGTATCTGTGCATACATGATGCTTTGTCTAGTACATTTGGAAATCCTAGTCAAACTATCAGCCTCCTCTCTTTTTCTCCCAAGGAAAACATCCATGGGTGGAAGAGCTGATAAACCAAGAGAGCCCCTGTTGTATGGTAAGCTCTACACAGGACAAAGAGTCTCTGCTTCTCCAAAGATTATTTCTTGGGCTGAGGAACTGATAAAGAGCAGGTGAACATGAAAAGCAGCATGAGAAAAAAAACCTCCAGGACAGCCCAGGGGAGCAGGAATAGCAGTGGTCAGAGCAAACCAGGAAAGCAAATGTTTGGAGTTTGCTCCCGCTCCTTTGATATAAAGGGGAGTTTACCCCTGATTTTTGTTGGGAACAAAATCCCAGGAATTGCAAATATGTGCTATATATCACCTCCTCTCTCCTGCTGCTAGTCGCAAAGCATTTCTGCTGCTCTTTCTCAGAAAAAGAGGCTTGCACATTGTGTGGTTGCACGTTTCTGCCTCTTTTGCCATTTTTTCATCCCCCTATTCCTCAACCACAGCCCAGTCCTGGCTATGAAATCCTTTATCTCATGAACCGTTTTCTTCCAGCAGCTTTTGTAGGTGTTTTCTTTGGTACATGCAGTCCCTCAGTGACAGCCACAGTTTTGGGTAGGCCTGAAACATCCAGTGACCTGTCCTGGTGCCTCTTGAACTCCGTGAGGTTTGTGCTTGGTTTCCAAGGGAGCAGGATCCAAGCCAAAGTGTTTGCTTTCCAGGTAGAATACCACCAAGAATCAGCCTTGATTCCTCACCTCCTCCTTTTTCCTTCCTCTTTGCAGGAATGGACATACACATACAACCACCAAGTCCGCCAGCAGCAGCTGTGCTTGTCTGTGTACACCCTCTTCCCAGGTTCCCAGGTGCTGCTGTCACCTTGCAAAGAAGGTGACAACAAGCAGGTGAGCCCTTTCACTGATCCTCCATTTTCTTTGAAATTCCCTTTCTTTCAGCATAGTATTACTGCACATCAAATCGCCCTTGGGCTCTGACTCCATCTGGGAAGCACAGTCTATCTGGGAGTACAGACTCTGGCCTGTTCAGCCCTTTGCCTCTTAAATGACTGTGTTGATAAGGTTGTCTATTAGTGTGGGTGGTGATCTGGATACTTATCTGCAGAAGTCAACTCAAAACTGGCAATTTAGTTCACATGGACTGCCAGTCAGCCAGCAGATGCTAGAAATTCTCTGCAGTTAATCATCGAGCTGGCATTTGAACCAGTGACCTGGGGGAAAAGCTGTTAGTAATATATTATCTTCCTAAAACCAGGCAGAGGCTGAGCTTAAATGAGTGTGCTTCTGATGGGAGAAATGCTCAGCGTGTGCTCTGCTGGGTGTGGGCTGGGGGACCCTGTACGTCCCAGCATCAGGCCACAAAGGCTTAGTGGCAACTGTCCTCTTGGTGCTGGAACTGTACCGTAAAAGCATAACGAGGAGGAAGCTTGTTGACTCCTGTTTCTCCTCTTGTGTGTTTCTCTCCTCAGCGATGGGGTAAAGTTGGGTCGCACATTGAACACATAGCTTCACGCTTTTGTTTGGACACTGAGACGATTGGGGACACGAATGAGAGCACCAAAGAGCTCGTCATCAACCCTTGCGAGAGCACAGCCATGAGTCAGCGCTGGGACATGGTGATGT